CCTTGAATTAAAATACATTAAAAAATACAATAATTTTATATTTATTTATATAAAAATATTAAAGAGACGAAACTTTTAATGAAATTACAATTTTTCAAAAAAGAGTTTAGTCAGGTATCACTAATGCCGAATCTGACTTTGGGGGTAGCATTTTATTATTAAACATTAATTTTTTTAATAATAAATGCCACCTCTGACTTTCAGAACAGCATTTTGTTATTAAAAATTAATAAAAATTAACTTTTTTAATAATAAATGCTATGTCTGACTTTTGGGCAGCATTTTATTATGTAAATTAAATTTTTTTAATAATAAATGAGGCATCTGACTTTCAAGGCGGTATTTTATTATTAAACATTAATTTTTTTAATAATAAATGCTGCCTCTGACTTTCAGGATGGCATTTTGTTATTAAAAATTAATAAAAATTAACTTTTTAATAATAAATGCTATGTCTGACTTTTGGACAGCATTTTATTATATAAATTAAATTTTTTTAATAATTAATGCTGTGTCCGACTTTTAGGCAGCATTTTATTATTAAAAATAAATTTTTTTTAACAATAAATGCTGCTTCTGACTTTCAGGGTGACATTTTAATATTAAAAATTATTAAAAATGAATTTTTTAATAATAAATGCTACGTCTGACTTTTGGGGTGGCATTTTAATATAAAAAATTAATAAAAATTATTTTTTTTATTAATAAATGCCGCCTTTGACTTTTGGGGTGACATTTTAATATTAAAAATTATTAAAAATGAATTTTTTAATAATAAATGTCGCGTTCAACTTTTGGGGTGGTATTTTAATATAAAAAATTAATAAAAATTAATTTTTTATTAATAAATGCTGCATCTGACTTTCAGGGTGGTATTTTATTATTAAACATTAATTTTTTTATAACAAATGCCGCCTTTGACTTTTAGGATGCCATTTTGTTATTAAAAATTTATAAAAATTAATTTTTTATTAATAAATGTTGCCTCTGACTTTCAGGACAGCATTTTGTTATTAAAAATTAATAAAAATTAATTTTTAATAATAAATGCTGTGTTTAACTTTTGGGCAGTATTTTATTATTAAAAATTAAATATTTTTAATAATAAATGCTGCGTCTGACTTTCAGGCGGCATTTTATTATTATAAATTAAATTTTTTTAATAATAAATGCTGCGTCTGACTTCAGGGTGGCATTTTTTATTTCAAATCCAACAAATCAGATCTGAATCCAAATCTGAATCTGATAGATTGAATCTGAATCTAAATCCAAATCCGTCAGATTGAATCAGATTTTTTGCGGAATACTATCATCACCCTTTATCTTATAATCATCATTATCAAATAAATACATAAAATGTAAACGTTATCTTTTATAGCTTTTGTTACATGAACCAGATTTGGCAAAAGATCTTGAAATAACCTTGAAATAACCTCAAATGACCTCAAATGACTTTATTGTTATTATTAATTTCAAGTCAAAAGACCTTATAATTTACTATCACTAATGTGAACAATATCTATCATTACTTCTGCTATACAAATAATATCTCTTATAGTTTCTGTTATTTAAATGATTTCTTCTATAATAGTTTTTATTTTGATATCAATCTTTGCTTAAACTTCTACAAACTTGTCAGAGTTGATATAAAATAAACAATGTAAATATATAGTATTATATCATAAAAATCAAGTAATTATTTACATGTTTGAATAACTATTTATTATAAAAAGTCTGATTATATAAATTAGAACTTCTTATGATATATCTATTTAAATTATCTTATAATAATTGTTTAACATTCTCATACTCTTACTTAAAAGTATACTATTTGATTTAGCATTATTTAGCTATGATATTAAAACTAAAAAATTACAATTAGGTTTTTTTTTTACTTTATTTGTTAAATATCAATGAATATAGACAAACAATTATTAGTATTAAATCAAAAAAATATATATTCATCATGAAAATTTTATCATGTGAAAAATTGACAATCATAATTTATTAATTTGTTTAATGATTGATATATTATAATATGTTTGAAAATTTAATTAACTTTTTATAGTAATAGATTCCTCAAACATTATTCAGACATTTCTTTTATATTCCATAGAGATTGATCTGAGATTCATTAATGATTAAATTATAATTTCTTTAAAAGAAAAATAATGTGAAATATCATTTTGATAATCATAACCCTAACATTTAAAATTTTTTTATATACAAGTAAATATAATACAATAATTCAGTGATTAACATAATTATATAAAAACAAAAATAAAAATAAAAATAAAAATAAAATTCGAAATAATAAAATAAAAAAAAATATATAAGATAATTTAATGTTTTAATTATTTCCAGCATTCTTGATATTCCAAATGACATCTATCATATCTTCTTTTTAAATAAGCTCTTCATGTCAAGTTTAAATATAAATATATAAAATAAATATATATTTAAATAAACTAATAAAAAAATATTTAAGATGAGTTATATGGGGCCTTTGCAATAGAAAGGGAGGAAACTGCCGGGAAAAATCAATTTCACTTTTATATGTTAAATATGATTTTTAAACTAATTTTTTTATTTTTCCGGCAAAGGCCCCATATGATATGCGTAATAAATAATCAAGTACTACGTATACAGTAGATCATAGGATCTGGTGGCTTAGCAGATCTTTATGAATTACAAATAGTGAACCCGGGAAACTCGTTAATAAATTTCAGGAAAGAAAAATATTTCGATTGTTGTGTGTCACTTTTCCAATATATTATATATAATTAATATATATCCCAAAATTTTTATATCTGATAAAGTACCCGGGTTCTTTAAAACGGGGTTTCATTCAAAGGGACCCGAATAGTCTAAAATTTAAGATCAATTTTTAAAGTTTGCATGTTATATTTTATTGAGAAACAAATACTTCAAATTTATTATTTTTTTTTTCATATTTCGCGTAACAAATTTTATTTGAGTTGGGAAAGATTAGTTATAAAAATTAAATTGAATGATTATTTATTTACGATTTCTAAGTTAAATTTCTAAAGAAACTTAATGCTATATTAATAAATTTACAACTTATTCTTAATTAAATTTTAACAAGGCAAAACTAATCATAAAAACTACGCGTATATTAGGAGATAAGATAACGTAATTATATGGGGGTAATATAATAATAAATAAGTACGAGATTCCATTGAAATATATATATATATATATATATTCTAAATATATTTTTTTCTTTTAAAAGAAGAAAAAAAAAAGGTTTTCTATAAAGTTCATTTCTTATGCAGGTTGTTCGTTAAGCAAAACTTCAACACCTGAATAGGCAGGTGCATCATAATTCATTAGGTAGATGAAAGAAGGACCTGGTGCGATTATATTTGAATTTGGTGGTAATAAAACCGTTACTATATATTGATCAGTGACTGTTGTATCCATCCAAACGTTTACAACATCGAGCCAAACAAAACGCTGACCCATATTTTGTGAATGTGTGATGAATCCATGATGAATAAGAGAAGCTTTGAAACTTGGTTCACCGCCTGCAACTTGAACAATCAAGGTAACAATTTGCTGATAATACACCTTAATCCTTTCTTTGTTAATTTCAAAGGTTTGTAGGGAAATGATGTTAGGTCTAGGAGTATTTGAGAAAAGATAAGGAGGAGAGAAAATTTCAACCCGATATCTAGAGAAAAAGTAATGGAGTAAATATTAATTAGAACTTGTTTGAATAAAATTTTTTCGTTTTTTTTTTTATAAGAGAGAAACTCACTCGGTGGGATATTTAACATTAAGCGATACACCTCCTTGTGGGTTACTTCCGGTGACCAAGACAGTACCATCAGGCACCAAAGTAGAAACGGAATGATACATTCTGGGTACGATGGACGAAGCAAGTGGTTTAAACGTTTTAGCATAAGAGTCATAAAGTACCGGGAATAATACGGGATTTTCATTGACCCATAAAGCGTTGGCACCTCCACCTTTACGATAACCAGCGAAACCGGTTCGAGCACCATTAACAAATAAGATGGTACCATCAACTAAGAAGGTAGCATCTGGCATAACACGTGGAGTACCACCGAAATCATTCATTTCCCATTCAGCATTTTCTGCCATTAAATCTAATATACCACAAGAGGCTTCTCCTTCTGAAGTGATTTCATATGCTTTATTACCACCACAAATCATAAACCTGGCGTTGTAATTATCGATAGAGGAAAGGGGTAATATGACCGAAGTACCAGTTAGTGGGTAATTACGAAAAGCGCCTGGTAATTTTGGATATTCAAAAACGACTTTTCCAGAACCAAGATCAAAACTAATGCTTCGTTGGTTGGCATGAAGGAAAATGATGGGTTTGCCTTCGAAGTTTGGCATTACATGTACCATGGGATACAAATTGTTAGGCAAGGTCTCGGCTAAAAATTGTAATGGATAATCCTCCATGACAGTTCCGGATGGTGGATAATACGTATAAGTTGGATTATTGATAGCTTCCTTATTGATCCCTGTAGCAGCTTTTGAACCTCCAACAACCAAAACGTTACCACTGGGTAAGCTTAACATGGTTGGATACCATCTCATAGATGGCATTATCCCTTCCAATTCATACCAATCTCCAATGGATTGATCATAAACTCGAACTGTTTGTCTACCGGAGCGAAAATTGGCATCTCCATTATCTCCACCTGCTTCAACTAAAGTTCCGTTGCCTAACCATGCTCCCGCTGAGCAAAAGGTATTTGTATAAATACTAAGAGGTCGAGCTTCATTTTTGTCAAGGTCATATTCTGCAGATATTGCTGAAATACCATCTGGTCTCTTTAAAGCATTTCCCTCAACTATTTGGGTAAAGAAAAGTGAAAGAGAGTGAGGGAAAGTTAATTATTATTATTCATTCAATAATTAACAACGAGATGAAAGGATGCGTATTTACGTACGTTTGTCTACAAATACGACTTTTCTGGCAGATACCAAGAAGGCATGCATGGCATTGACCCCGGATCTATTGAAAATTTAATTGAAAGAAGATTTGTGTTGACAATTAGAAATGTAAAAGAATTATAATGTCAAGATTCATAAATATGGTTTGGTTGCCACTTACTCTCCAACAATTTGCCATGTTCCAAGGCTGGTATCACCATCTCGTTCTAAAGAGAGAGGAAATCAAGTTTGTTAAAAATTTATGCACATCATTTCAAGAAAATTTCTGATGGTGGTAATCGTTTTTGATAGTTACCTATTAGTGATGCTGGTAATGCATTTACATTAAATATAATTAATCCTCCAAAGAGGAACGTGGATAAAATTAACTTAACATTCATCATTTTTTATTTCTTAACCCTTTATCTTAATTTTTTTTTTTTATTATTATTATTATTATAAAATTATTATTATAAAGAGAAAAATGACGAATGAAGAAAAAATCCAAAAAAAAAATTTTTTTGGGGGGATTCCTCAGACATTTTCGTGGTTATTTTATAGTATTCTTTTTTTTTTAAATTTAGACAGAATTAAAATATAAAATGTTTCATTAATAGTTAATATTATTGTTTATTGTTTATGTAAGTCTATTTCTGTATACGCCGTTTTCGTTATTTTACAGGGTTTGATTGTGTCAATAAAATAACATTTATGAGCTTTTTTTTTTTTTAATGCACAAGTGTGCAAGTTGCCTTGTAGGGTTTTGAACAAGGTTTTTTTCTATTGGTGCTAACTGATTAAATAAACCTTCCACAAAAAAGGGAACAGAATCGATTCTTCCACGTGATGATTTATAGAAAATTTGAGTTGGAATCATGCCATATTTCAAAGTCATATTTCAAAAATCGAACTTGGACACTCGAATTTCTAATGAAAAGTGTATTTTTAGAAATTTTATTTTTAAAAAATGATTTATTTGTTACACGCAGGTCATATATACACCTTCCAAAAAGAATAAATCCATTGTGAGTAAATTTTTAATAACATTTAAAAATAATAATAAACAATCATTTAAGTGTAAATATATGAAGATTTTTTTCTTTTATTAGCTAACCTTCACTTTTATACCTTGAATTCCATAGTTTGTAAAACCGGGCGGTCAATTTATTTTTTAATTAACAGGTTTTTATGCACCCTTCAATCTATTATGTCAAAGTGACTATTGATTAACCGTTTTTGGAAATTTATATATAAATAAATATATTTTTAATTTTTTTATTTTTTATGAATTCATTCTCAAATAATATAATCAGGGACAAATTTTGATTCACATTTTTTTTTCATTTTCATATTAAAAAATAAACATGCATATTTCATATTTGTGTATATAAAAGTACAATAAAATATGCAATCGTAGTTTAACATATTTTTTATGCCAATTAAAATCACAATGGGTTAAGATCATAGAACGAAAATACAGTATGGTGCAGAAATGTTTTTAAGCACCGCAGAATCTATTATTTAGGTTGTTCGTACGACGACTTGTTTTATCATCTTTTTTTCTTCTTCATTTTTCGATATGTTTTTCTTTCTTCAGATATTCAAAAAAAAAGTTAGAACCAAATTATAAATCATTTGTTGTTTAAGTTTTAATTTTAAACGAAAGTATGAAATTTCTTCTTGGAAGTTGTCAAAAATAATATCCTTTTTTCTCGGAGTGGCGTGATGTTTGTTTCAAACAAACTAAACATAAAGTTAAAACAAACATGAAAATGGACGATTCCTAAGTTAATCTATTAATAAAAATCTTACGATTCTTCGTTATTCAATCACATCTCGAAGTTTAATTTTAAAGTTTCCTCGTGGATTGAATGTCAAAATCGGAAGTTCATGCACAATTAATCGCTGCATTCAATAAGATGAGGTTTTTCAAATATTTGGAGGCAAGCTGCTTAGTTGACTAAAAAAAATCATGAGAGAATATTTCCCAAATGACAACCCTAGATTTTTATATATATTATATTTTTTTAACAGTTTTTTTCCTTTAAAGGATAGGATGGGTAATACATTTTATCATTTTATCCCTATTATCTTGATAAAACTGGTAATAAGACAAAAAGAAAATTTAATGTTATACAGTTCCGGATTTGGATTAAAATTTTAATTCAAAAAAAGTCCGGTTTATGATGTTTACGGGGTAAACTTTGTGATTAATTAATGAAAACAATCCACCTTTTAGAATCTAAAATCTCGAAACAAGGTGTATTATTAAAAAAAGTCTTGGCATTTTTGCATCATGCATATGCCGCAGATCCGCAGCAAAATTCAACAGATTCACTATTTATTTACGTGGCTATGGCTTCAATTTGCTTTTTATTTTTATCTTTTATTTCTATTTTATTATTATTATTTTTTTTACATGACAAATCAGAGAGCGGATAGCAATCACCAAAAGAAAATAAAGTTTGGATTTTATACAATTAGATTGAAAAGCATTGTTAAACAGATAGATATATATAATATACATGTGATGAGGAATGAAAAAAAAAACGGAAGGGATGAAATATGGAAACAGTCAATGATTTATTTACGGATCAATTCCATTCGGTAAATCCGACTTTTACTATGTTCGAAATCTATTTTCATTTCGCAGAGATGAGAGGACCAATTTAGGTTATTAGAATGGACTACACTAATTAGAGGTTAGTGACATAATAAATAATATTAGTATTTCTGACTTACTTAAATAAGGGAGAATCGTTGTTTAAGGGGTCGGTCAAAAATGCACTTGTCGCCGATTACCTCCCTAGTGCATTTTAGTGCATTGCACTTCAAATGCATGTAACTGATGAGAACTTGGATGAAAGAGATAAGAGCTTTTTAAAAAGAAATTTATTTCGTGTAATGTTACTTTGCTAAAAATGGAAACTCTGTAGTTTCGGCCTGAATTAAAAAATACTCAGGCAAAAAAGAGTCTTGGGAAAGACATTAAAATTTATGAGATCAAAATAATCGTATGACCCATTTTTTTTTTTTTTAAACCTTTAAAATTATTTTTAGATATCTCGATTGTAAATATTTTTTTGAATTATAAAAATAGAAAATTTGATTATCGAAAAAAAAGAAGATAAATAAAATATATACCGAACGCACACAACTATATAAAGAATTCTCGATTATACTCAACTGGATTAAAAAATCAAGTTATGAAAGCAATAAAGCACAAAATTTTCTATATTTCTTTGTTTTCATTTATTTACATTTGCTGAATTCCTATCAATAACATTTTTAAATTCCTTCAAACTTAAACTGAACAAAGCCAATATCAATAAAATGGATTCAGTTTTTTTTTCTTTCTTCTTTTCACACATTTCATATTTATTTTGTCCTTATTATCGAATTTCGATCAATTGGCTCAATTAAAAGAGGCATATAAATTTTTAAATTCTGCAACTTTTTTTTCTAATTTCCAGTCTACTAGCTCGTTATTTTAAATTGTTTACCTGATTTAGTTTGAAACAAACAAAGGACTAGATGATAATTTCCTAATCTTGACAAGTAAAACATGTTTCGAATTTAATCCCAAAATAGTTGATATCGGATTTGGTTTAGTAATTTTTGCTAAACAAATTTTGAACTCTCTTAAATTTTTTATTTTTTATTTTTTAAAAAATATCATTCCGATTCATGTTAACTATGTAAATAATTTATTGGTGCAATGATGGGATGCATATTTATCATGTTTATATAACAATACTTAATAATTGTCAAATATATATATGGTTGCCAGTTAGGTGAATTTTCAAAAAAACTAAAAAATTTGGATTCATTCATTCTAAAAAATAATAAATATGAAATTAATCACCATCTTATTTTTAATTTGTTTTATAAGTATTACAAGAAGCATTCCAGGTATAATAATAATAATATTTATTTTTTTTGTTTTGATAAAATAATTGAACTTTATTCTTAAAACGATTTAGTTAAATATGAAGATGTAACCGGGACAAGAGAGCATAAGCGTTACGATGTAAATTCGCCGTGTTACCAATATTTTCATCATAAATCTAAGCCTTTGGTAGAATTTTGTGAAAAGGCACGAGAAAATTTAATAAAGATAAATTAATGTGGCATAATTTACAATATTTATTCAATCAGTCCTTAGATATACATATAGAATTATATTAGAATTATCAGGATTAGATATCAATGTTTAATCAAAATAAGAAAAGAAAAACATCAAATATCAAATATTAAATATACTCCTATCAAGATTAATCGGTCCGTTTCATAGTAATTTTTTTTCTAATAAACCGGTTAAATCACAACTAATATTCCACCAAGTTTTTTGTAAATCTTCTTTATAACTATCTTCACTTGCTTTGTCAACCTTACAACATTTATTAATATATAATCCGCTTTGTTTTTCAAGTTCCGGTGACGTTGATGCATAAACAATTACCGTTCCTCCCTGAAAAGAAATGAATAAAAAAAAAGAGAATTTATTTTTTTTAATTTGCTTCTTATCTCCTACGAATAAAAAAATTTTATATTACCTGCTCTGGTGTCCTAGCAAAAGGAGCTAAGGGAAGAATATATTTCATTAAAAGTTTAATGTATATGGCACTTTCCCTTGACAGATCAGTTTGAGGCATGAATCCAGGTTCAATAGCAATCAAAGAAACCTTCTCCTTTTCTTCTCTTTCTAGTAACTTATTTAATTGATTAAAAAATAACATCTGAACTAATTTAGAATGCCTATAAAATAAAAGACCATCATAACCTTTGCTATCATTTAAATTTTTTACATCCAAACTTTCAAAATTTTTATGCTCTTCACTCTGTTTATGTAAAGAACTATTAACAAAAATAATTCTAGAAATGAAAGAATCTGCTTGTTGTTGTTGTTGTTGTTCTGTTGTCCATTTAATTCTATCTAATAATAAATGAATCAAAAGAAAATATGATAAATGATTGGTTTGAATTGTCGTTTCTAAATCATCTTCGGTTATACTAAATGTTGATTTAATCGTTGCGGCATTTAATATTAGTATATTTAAAGGAAGAGTTGAATCTCTCGTAAGTAATCCTTGTGCGAATGATTTAATTGAAGTAAATGATGATAAATCAAGTTTTGATATTTCAATTTTATGTTGTGGCGGAATTGTTAACGCTAAAACGGCCTTTTCCGTTGCTGGAATATTACGTACAGCGAGAATAAAATGATATGGCGTTGAATGTTGTATCAATAGTTTTAGTGTTTCATAGCTATGATTTTTTTTTTTTTTAAGATATTAATTTGTAGCTTGTAATGAAGAAAAATTGTTTAAAGTATAAATATTAATTACCCTAAACCTGAGTTAGCACCTGTTAAAACGATAACTTTACGTCCTTGGGACATCCTTTTAAAAAAAAAAAAAAAAAAAAAGGAAAAAAGATATGTTAAAAAAAATTGGGGTGGGAAATGTTGTGAAATGAACTTTTTACTATTTTTTGGGATGAGAATATTTATTTGTAAAATGTGTGAATCCATTATTCCATTTTTAGAATTTGATGGGATGATAATCGGAAATCGACAAAATTTTTTTAAGGCCGATTTCCTGTATGATCCCATGAAAATCAAGCGATAGTTTCTGATAAAGACGTGACGCAGTTTTTCACGTGCAGATCTGGATTATAACTTTCATAAATTTTTGTAAAAGACTCTTCGGTTTATTATAAAGATTTTTGAATAAAATCGTTAAAAAAAATCAAGAATTTATTAAGTGACGTTTGTTATATCAAAGTTCGTTATATCGATCATTTAATCAAATACGGGTATAAAGTAGTATTTATACACGTATAGTATTAAAAACCATTGGAAAACACACAAGTATGGTATGAAAAACCATACATGTATGGTTTTTAAGGTATACATACCATACTTACCTAAAAAAAAAAAAATAACTATACTATACATACATTCAAAACCATACTATGTAATGCCCATCAAATACCGGTCACGTGAAATATAAAGTGGTATAAAATTATAAAATAAACCAAACGAAAAAATTTTTATGTATGCAGTATATTATCTCATATTTACATAGTATTATTTATTCTCTTATTTACAAATAAAAATTTTAATATCCTTAGATTGTAAGAGTTTACTAGCAAATTTATCTGCTTATTTACTATAAATTCATTTCTGATTTATAAATTAATTTTACAAATATTAGTATCTTATAATAATTTTTATTTTTTAATTATATAATAAAAATTCCAATATTATTTATTATAAAAAAATTTGTAATTTTAAAAAAAATTTATTATTAATCTATAATAATTAAGAATGCTTACCTAAACAAACCTCTTCAAAATTAGTTTTAGCAATTTTTAATAAGAGTTTAATATATTTTTTATCATAGTTTGTCCAGTTTTAGTATTTACTATGATAGTTTTATTATTTTAGCATTTTGCCATAGTTTTAGTATAAGTAATTATAAGATTTTAATATAGATTTGTTAAAATTTTGGCATTTTGGCATTTTAGCAAGTAAAAAACCTTCTAATTTCTCTAATAATCTTAATAATTTAATTATAAAATTTATCATAATTAAAGATGGTTCCCATAATTATTTTTAAAATTTTTAACTAGTTGCAACTTAAGTTGCAACTCTTTGAGTTACAACTATTTATGAATTTTTATATTAAAATAAATTTACAAGAAGTTGCAACTTACCAAGTTGCAACTTCTTAATTATGGTATCCATCTTTAATCTGATAAAAATTTTGATTTTAAATAATCATATGTTATATGTCAGCTATCAATTTACATTAGACATTGACTAGTAATTCCATTATTATAAGTCTGAACAGCATTAATGATGATCATCTTTTATTAATTTTATATTTAGTATTCTATCATTATCAGATGCAAATTATTACTTGACGCATAACATATATATAATAGTAATTAATTAAGAAAAATAAAATATCAATTATCTCAAAGGTATTATTGCATTATCTACTCTAATTAATGATTAGTTTATTATATCAGTCAAATAAAATCATGCTAATAGTTAAATAAATAATAATTATATATTAGTTAAATAAAATTATACTGATTATTTATTAATATATAATCAGTATATTAAAAGTAAATTTTATTGATAAAAAATAAAAATTAATTTTTACTATTTTTTAACTTTCTATTTATTTATTTTATAATATAAAATACTAAAAATAAAAATTTTTTAATATGATATAATTTATTATAAACTTATTATTTTATATTAATTTTTTTTGTAAAAAAAAATTTTTTTTACAAGAATAATAATATTAATAATATTAAATTTTTTCACAAAATTTCTCAAATTAAATAAGTTAAATAAACTAATTACTATTAATAATTAAATAAATTAATTGAAATTTTTTAATAATCTTTCTAAAAGATAAATGTTATCAATAGTAAAAATTAATCTTATTATACTAATCTTAAATAAACTATGAAAATGATAATTTTGTAAATTTATTAAATATTATGTCAAATAATTAGCAATAAAATTCTGATTTCTTGATTTTGAAATCAGTTTGATATTTTTAATTTTACTTGTTTATTATTATGTTTTTAATATTATTAATTATTATATTATTTATTTTTATTTTATATTTATTATTGTTTTATATTTATATTTATATTTATAATATAAGAATTAATTAGCTATAGCAAATTAATTTATATAAATAGAATAGCTTTTTGTTTATAATTATAAATTAAATCTTTTATGTGTTTAAATAATAAATAAAGAAATTAATTAAAAATATAATTATATTTTCTTTTTATGTATTTTTTATTTAGAATTGGATTATGAATTAGGAGACAATTCTAATCTCTATGTTATATATGTAGATCAATTTGTAAATAATTTAGTAGATTAATTCTGTAGATCAATTATATATAAATCAATTGATAGATCTGTTTACGCTAAAAATAAAAAAATAAAAAAGAAAAAAGATAAAAAAATAAAAAATTTTTTATCAGTTTTATATTGAAAACTAAACGAAACTTTTAATTAATTTGAAATTTAGCTATTATTTATTAATTAAAATATCACATTATAAATGTTTCAATTACATCATTCAATTGAAATGATTTGTATTATTTTTAAAATGATAATTTGATATTTCTTAAGAAAAATTATTTTTTTGAAACAATGATATATTATTTCTTAAAATAATTTTATTGTTCCTTAAAGATAATTTTTATTATTTCTTTGAAATGATTTGTATTATTTCTTTAAAATGATTTTTAAATTGATATTATCTGATTAATAGATAATTATTATATGGGCGGTTGTCAATAGAAAGGGGGGAAATCTAGATTTTGACCAAAAATTTTTTTATTGGCTTATTTGATAGAAAATAATCATGGGAACAAAGTTGGCTTAATATAGAATATGTCATTTATTAATAAATTATTAAGATATCGTCAATTGATTGATTAAGCGTTACATTGATCGACATCAGCTTAAATATTGAAATCCGGTTAAGGAGTCGATGCTTCTTTTTTTAGAAACTAAAAATATCGTTAAAATTCTTTTGTAAAAAAATGTTTGACAATTGTTCGTAAGTTTCATGCTAGAGGAATTGTTGGCTTTCGGTTTCTCAACAATAATCGCAGTAATAATATTGTTCCGAATCGTTTTAGATTTTTCATTCTTTTATTTCTGGCAAAGTTCATAGATTGTTTTTTTTTATCTTTAAATATTATTTATATTAGACCTTTTTTTTTTCTTAGCGTTAGGAACGTTTTTTTTGGAACGTGAATCTAGAAGAAACAATTACTACCCCACCGATATCCCCTCCTTCTCACTAGTAAGTAATATATTTTTGAGCCTTCCTTTCCTCTTTTTAAATATTAACTTTTTTCTTTTTTTTCTTTAGAAATATGAAACTAGGAATTGTTAACAAAATAATGGCGACTTAGTAAGTTTTCGTAGTGGTGAATTTTCTGGATCGTTCTTTTCTTTTTTCCCTTTTAAATTTATATTAACATTTTTTCTTTTTTTTTAGGACTGGTGCTATTGTGAATTTAAGAGTGACAAGTGGCAACTTATAAAAAAACAAAAATTCTTATATTTTAAATATATTTTTTGTAACGAGTATGATTTTTATTTCTCAAAAGATAAATTGTAACAAGAAAGTTCGGTAAATTTTGTGTAACAAGCTTTTGATTTTTTCTTTTTCTTCTTAAAATATTATATTAATTTTTTCTTTTTTAGCAATGTTAGGATTTCACGATAATTATTTTATTTTATCCTCGTAATGATTTGCATGCGCAGCAAATTTAAAATTTACCAATCAAGATTTATTTATACAATAAATAAAAAAACAAGATTATTTTCTTGCCAAGTAGTATTACAAAATAATGATCATTTATATATTATAAGTTAAAA